GAGCCTTTTTATGGGACGTCATGTTTCTGATGACAGCCCCACCCGTGCCCACAGCGTTGGTGTGGACCAGAGGGGCGCCGGTGTTTGGATTGCTTGTATTGACTTGGATTACGAGCCCATAGTTAGCCGTGTTGTTGACCGGCCCTAACCCGTTGGACGGCAGTAGCCATAGGTCCGGGTTCATTAGGTCCTCCAAATCATAGTCGGCTAATGCTGTCATTATGTTTGGCCTCAATTTGAGGTCATTTTCAGCGTTAATATAGTCTGAAATGAATGAAAAATAGTTTCATTTAAAGTTTTAATGAATAACAAAAAATACTACCATTTATTATAATTAAGAGAAAAGCAACAAATTGATTGCTTTTCATTATTCATGTAATTTTATGCGATGTTTTTAAAAATTATGTATAATTATTAATTTGAAATAAAATCATAATTTAGGAAATATGTTTTAATATAATTAATGAGCTGTTGTTTTTGTTATTAAATAGATTTATAGATTAATGTGTGAAATGTGTGAAATAGTTTTTAAAGTACTTTATATAAATGTTAAATAATACAAAATTTGTAAAACTGAAAATATTTAAACATGTTAATTTTTAATAAATTAATAAATTTAGCTTATTTATAAATTAATAAGCTAATATTAAATTGAGATTTCATTAACATGATTTTACTATGGTATATTTATTTATTTATATTATTCTGACTCATATGATAAATCAATTAATTGTATTAAAAATTATTACAATACAGACAAGTTATATACAGCATATTAATTTAATAATTTATAAATTAACTTTAATTACAAATCCTAAAACACGATTACTAAACAAATCAAACATTTTTGATACAAAAATGTTAATAACAATTGGATAATAAATAATAATGAATTGCTATGATACAAAACCTTTAGTTGAAAATGTATCTAAAAATGTGTACAAAATGTGTGCAAATTTTCCGCATTCAGTGTTTGACACAAACATTAGGTTTCGTTTGAGAGGCAAAACCAGATTCAGCTGTAAATCGGTATTAAACTCGTAGTAAAGGAAAGCCAAATACACGGCCCGAAAGGCCGGCGCTCTCGTGCCCGCCATAAACGTGCCGCGACTGCCGTGAAGTAGGGCTACGCCGGAGGTGTGGGCGCTCTCGCAGAATACCTGTCCGGCGTCGCAATGGTCTGTCAGGTAATTCCAACGACACGATAGGTTTAGATACCGGTGCGGATGTCTGTGCAAATATATGGACATAATATCGTTGACAACCCATTTGATACGAGCGCCGTATTTGTGGACAATTGGCTCCATTTCCCCAAAAAAGTCGATTTCTCTCATTCGCGTCAAATTCATCAAAATAATGCCCGTATTTAATGAGTACAGTGTGGGTGTGGGTATGCGATGGGCACCGGTATTCTCGTTTTTATACCACGAGGTGCTAGGGTTGGTATTGTCGGGAGCCATAGCCAGTACTTGTGTGGCGTTCATGTGTCCGAAGTATTGCCACAACTGCTCGACCGGTGATAGGAATATGGAGTCGCTATCGATATGAATGACTGAATCATAACTAGCTAATAATATCTGCAAATTAATTATAAAATAGATATTAATGTCATTTTAATTAATTATCATTTTTTTAATTAATGAAATGTTAACACTGTATAAGTTATGCAATACTGTTTAACATATTGGATTTTAAAACAATTTTGAATGATTAGTAATTTTTAAAATTTACGTAATAATTAAATTAGTTATATAATGTGTATATCTATCATTTTATAATCTAAAAATGATATAATTAATGAACTCACCGGGTAAAAAAGTCGTTGAGAAGCGCATGGTTTAAAAGCTCTTCTAAAATAATCAGGATCAGATACGTTTGGAAATCTCGCTGTAATTATTTCAAAGCTAATCTGGTCAAGGATATTAGGCGACCACTCTAATATCTATATAATATTATACGTAAATAGTATACAAACATTAATAATATATTGTCACCTAATATAAATTCAATACATATTTAATAATTGACAATTTCTTTAATAATTAATCATACAAATACTGTATTTATAGTAATGCTAATCAAATATTCAATTCTAGTATTTAGTTGCACTAATGCTTTAGGAAACATACCTTTTCTTTATATGTCATACGGTTTGTGTCGACAAATATAATGAAATGTAGTTTTTGTTTGGTTAGGATTACCGCTGACTTAATCATCACTAAAGTCTGTTCCATAATCTGGTGGTCACCACAACTAGTGACCGCAATTTTAATCATATTGTCATCCGGTTTACCACCAAATGTCACGATTATGTGATCGGAATTATATACAGAATATTCACTCAAATATTTATAACTAATTATATTAAAGTTATAGAGACTTATGATTAACATTGACGTGAATACTAGCGAAACAAATAGTGATGAAAATAATTTGTTTAACATTTTTGATGTGTGATTGACATTGAAATTGTGTTTTATTGGCAATTATATCGACAAATGAGACAGAATTTTGAATTTTAACACAATATTGTGTTTATTAATACAGGGTTTCACATAATAGATATATTTTTGAAGTTTTATTATATAAAAACACTACATTAAATATTTTTTGATAATCATTTAACGTTGATGTTTTAATAAATTACTTATCTAGATCAACACAACTAACGCTGGTGATTTTTAAAATGTTTTGAAATTTTTTAACTTTACAAATAGCATAATGTGAAACTCTGCAAGTTATTTAAAATAATTTTTAATTTAATATCTATTGTAGATTTTTTGTTATAAGGTTTTTAAAAATGTTATCCAATTGAACCCAACCCAGTATTTAATGTATATAATAAGCCATTGTTTTACAAATCAACTCATATTTCACACATACGATGAAATATTACACATTTATTATTTGAAGGTTTAAGCCAAAAATTTTACATTTTTAATATAAAGTTACAACTAAAATAAATTGTTAGGCATACACATTTGATAGCAATTAACACATTGTCATCCTTTATATTGTAAAATGCACCGGTATGTTATGTGTGGGATAGTACTGTAAAGTGCATTGCACGTGATTTATAATTAATTTCACAATTTTAAACACACATACAATTTATGCAACAAAGTATATTGAATATACTATATTCCCATATAAGTATCACTTTGTTGTAAAAATGCTATTTCGACAATTTTAAAACAAAACACACATAACAATAGGATATCACAGTATTTTGTAGAGTCTCTGGGTAGCATTTTATAATATAATATTTTGCTGTATTAATATAATATCATTATATTTTAAATTTACTTTTAAAACACAACAAATATATTACTGTCATTACTGGAGATTATTTGATTAAATTAAAGCATATATCCCACGATTTTATTATCAATTTTATGATGTATTGATCCACTTTTGAAGGCAATTGATATCATTAAACAAAATAATAACAATGTTTTGCGAGTATCAATAAATATTAGTAAGTATAAAATATTATGGTATTTTGACAAACATTTTATTCAATTTTATATAATTATACTTTTATTATTGCATAATAATAATACACTCTTGTAATGTGATTTTAATGTAATTTTAAAGCAATAAATATAATAGAAACGTTTTTTCAAATGTCAAACAAATGGACAAAATATGATTGAAATGAAATGAATTACATAATGAAACATCACTTTCTGTGTTCAATACGATTGCCTAAAACGGAAAGGGATTCTCACAGACTCTACACGACTGGCAGAGCCTCACACATCATATGAATAATGAAAAAGCATATTATTTTTATGTATGGTCTTGGATAATAATATAAATTCGTATGGAAAACAAATTAACTAATGAAAGCGTGGACCTAATTATAGGAAAAACCTTTTTTTCCATACATTCATAGCTAAACTAATTAGAAATTAATTCCGAAAATTAGATTTTGTTTCTAATGTTTTATACACACTATCGCTGTATAATTCATAACCACAAAAAAGTCTTATAATACAATATAATATTATAATTATATTAAAAAATACATTTATTACTAACATTAGAAACAGTAGACTAGAGATTGGGTACACAGACGTGCAAAGGGTTGGCATTCAAAGGCAATTGTACTCTACATTCAGTTTCTGGACTTCAAAAGTAGTTATATTGTAAAAGATAACTAAAATATTTGAGTAATTTTTTATGAAGTAGCTTTAAGAAGTTATTTGCACTTAAAATACATTTATTATATCATTTTTTAAGGTTAGTTTAAAATTTGATAATACGTACTCAATATAAATGCACTGTTGGTATAAATGTCCTAAACTTTGTGAATAATTATAGCGATTGATATCTAAATGGCATCATAAAAGTGATACACAATTTCACGACTGAAATCTACATTTTACTATTTTAGCAATTTTTACATGAGCCTAACAAATATTATATTATTTTTAAAATTATATTATAAAGTTTTTAATATAAGTGAAAACTTATCAACACTAAATTGTTATACTGTATAATAAAATCAATTTATTCCAGTCCAGTATAATATAAAAATAGATATGCAAGCATAGGTATTCATTGCAATGTGCAAACATTATGAAACACAATAAATCCCATATGTATTGATATTATTACAGTATATCATATAAATTATTATAGTGATTTTTAGCCAAAAATAAAATGATCATAATTAGTATACAGTATTAAAATATTTCTAATTATGGAAAAATAATAAAAAGGACTATATTAAGTCATTTTAATACCGGTATATTTTACACATTCTTTTATACAGCACTGTAAGTACCCGAGTACTTTTAATAGTCCATTTTACACACACTTATATTTATAAGTTATAAATTATAACCTTTTTATACACTCTAACAGCCGTTTTACACACTTTTAATACCGGTATTGAACTTAAAGTATTAAACTTAAAAGTTACAAAACTATACAAACATTTTACTTAACATTTCATATGCTGTATTTCCACAAATAGTATACAAAATACTTTATTACAGTTTTCAAATAATTTTTTACATTTATAAAAAATATTGATAGTTTATAATAATTTATTAAACCATTAGAATTTCCTAATATTGTAGTTTCAAAATCATTGTAGGTATTTTTTCAAATGAAATTTTACTCAATATTTCAAACAGGCTTGGATAATTAATTTAATTCAACCAAATCAATACTATCTATGACACATACCATACCAGTGTAAATACCGTAATAGCGGTAATTAATTTTATAAAGATACATTATATTTTATAATAAATTTAAATAATTTTAAAATAAAACTTGCAATTATTATAAGTTAATGTATAGGTAACTTTTATTACAGCAATTAAAATTAAGTATTAAAATTAAGTATATTATTAATATTGCATAGTTGGTTAAGTAAATTATTGTGATTATTGTATGAATTTTGACATAACATTAATTTCAATGACTAAAAATAACAATAAAAACTAAAACATGTATTATTTGTTCAGATCTCAGCCCCAGAAGTCTCTGATTTTGTTTTGTTTCATTGAATTAATTCTCTTCATATCCTCGTCCGTCAGCTTGAAGTCAAAGACATTGAAATTCTCGACAATCCTCTGCTTAGTCGTACTCTTCGGTATGACTACCAGTCCTCTCTGTAATTGCCATTTGATGGCCACCTGAGCGGCGCTCTTATTATGCTTTTTGCCGATTTCCTTCAACAGGGGCTCCTGTAGTATAGCGCCGGTACCCAACGGCGAGTAACCCGTCACCGATATATTATTTTTCTTGCAGTAGTCAACCGTCTTGTCCTGATTGAAACCCGGGTGCACTCGGATCTGATTCATACTGGGCTTCACTTTTGCCGTCTTCATCAGCGTCTCGATCTCCTGGGGCTTAAAGTTGGACACACCTAACGAGCGAACCATACCATTGTCGTAGGCGTCCTCCAGACCCTTATACACCTCGGCGGTAGCCCTACCAAAGGGTAGGGGCCAGTGGACGAGCACCAGGTCCACGTACGTTGTGTTCAGCTCTTTCAGCGAGTTTTTGATGATATCAAAAGACTTGCGACGATTCATATTCCTCGGCCACACCTTTGTGGTGATGAATACGTCCTCCCGCTTAACGACCCCCTTGTCGATGGCCTCACGCATGCCTTTCCCCACATCGCGCTCGTTGTGGTAGAACCAGGCGGTGTCGATGTGTCGATAGCCGGCCTCCAGAGCATCCCTGACCGCGTGTATCACTTCGGGCCCCTCCGTCTGCCACGTCCCCAGACCTATGGCCGGCACCTCTTTGCCGCTATTCAGTCGGATTAGTGGCACATCTGATGGACAATCAAGAGATGAGATTAAAAGTTCAAATATAGTTCACTTGTCAGTGCAAACAGATGGTTAGTCTTTATTTTTTGCTCACAATATCTATTATCTATGATATGACTATATTGTGACAATTATCTGATTGTATAAACTAATACGATAATTAATTAATGTTTTTCAATACTCTGTATTTAATATTTTACAAAGGATCAATAGTAATTAATAACTTTGATTGAATTAATGAGATATACAATTTAAAATTAAATATTTAAATAGTTAATTATTAAAATTAGTGAATACATTAAATTGCAAGCACATAATCAATTGAATACATACCCTTCGCATAGTTGACATAAAAAACACTACATATTACTAGCGATAAAAGAGTGAAAGTTTTCATTTTGCTAATAACGCGGATATAAATGTTTGCGATTGTTTGGGTATATTGTGAACAATGGTATTGAGATTATATGATATACTTTGTATTGATTACACCGACAAATACACTGTTCACCTGAAATGTGGTACACTTTTGGCTGCAAATTGTAATGTCGTCTCGTATTGGGAGTGTACTTCAATTTCTGGGAAAATATCTCGCATTTTATTTAATTTATTATTATTATTCACTTCAAGTATTGATGAAAACTTGTTTTTGGTATTTTTTATTTGCCATTTATTTTTCCAATCCACACATTTCTATCCGGTTGTAATCAATTATAATTAATTAGTAATGTATTTTCCTAACACTTAGATAGAGGTTAAGGTAAAAACTCTTTTTGACATTTTCGCTGAATATAACTTAAACAGTATTATATTAAAATTATTGTATGATATCAGTCGGTGTTGTAGATATCAATAGTTGATTGTCAAAATATTAGGCACTCTATAGCACAGTCATGGCAACTGAAAGTCAATTTAATAATAATTACACATTCAATTTAATTATTTTCATTATATCCTTCAAAAATAGTATTATTTAACTATTAATAAAAAATCCCCTTTTACTGCAATTGTTGATTGAATTAATCATTGGTTGCAAATTTATGTCACAATATCTATATTTACGCTAATTAATATCAAGTTTTAAATAGCTGTAAATATTTTTGCAACTAATAATTTTTGAAATAAAAAAAAATATACTATACTTTGAATATTAAAATTCTATTTATAATTCCAAAATAAAAATTGTAGAAGCCTATAAAATATTGATTTTTAGCAAATTTTCATATGATATGATCATATGATATTTTCTTGTATTTTTAAATGTTGATAATTTAATTTTTCAAATAAAAACCTTTTTAATTAACTATGTTATTTTATTTTGTTTAGTTTTGTAGGATGTTAAGTATGTTTACAGTACTAAATTAGCAGAATAAATTATCAATTAATAAAATTTTAATTAATTAGAAATTAGTATTGTAGTTATTTAAATTAAATGGGTTACTACTAAATTTATATAAAAACTTACTATTTAAATACTATTTAAAAAACTTTGTACTAATGCAATAAATATTAATATTAAGCAAAATAGTATTTTAGTAATTTCTACATCTTTATGTTGTGTTAAGAATTAATTGATTAATAAATGAATTAATTGTAGTTCAGCTATAATTTAAAATAGTTTAAAATCTAAAATCGGTTTTTACTAATTATTTGATCACAATTCTACTTTCATTACAAA